GGAAAGGGGGGGGGGGGGGGGGGGGATTACATCATGTTACCGATGATACACTGTTTATGTGAGGAGGAAAGATGAGAGAAGAGGATATCACCATTTCAACCATTACCACTGTTTGTGTGAGGAGGAAAGATCAGATGGAGAGGACATCATCATTCTACCAATGAATACACTTTCTATGTGAGGAGGAAAGATGATAGGGGGGGGGGGGGGGGGTTACATCATGTTACCGATGACACACCGTTTATGTGAGGAGGAAAGATAAGAAGGGGAGCACATCATCATTGTACCAATGAATACACTTTCTATGTGAGGAATAATGATGAGAGGGGGACAACATCATGTTACCAATGATACACTGTATATGTGAGTAGGAAAAATGAGAGGGAAGGACATCATCATTTTGCCAATGAATACAATGTCTATTTAAGGATGAAAGTTGGGAGAAGAGGACATCATCATTTTACCAATAAATACACTTTCTATGTGAGAAGGAAAGATGAGAGAAGAGGATATCATCATTTCAACCATTACCACTGTCTGTGTGAGGAGGAAAGATCAGATGAAGAGGACATCATCATTTTACCAATAAATACACTTTCTATGTGAGAAGGAAAGATGAGAGAAGAGGATATCATCATTTCAACCATTACCACTGTCTGTGTGAGGAGGAAAGATCAGATGAAGAGGACATCATCATTTTACCAATAAATACACTTTCTATGTGAGAAGGAAAGATGAGAGAAGAGGATATCATCATTTCAACCATTACCACTGTCTGTGTGAGGAGGAAAGATCAGATGGGGAGGACATCATCATTTTACCAATAAATACACTTTCTATGTGAGAAGGAAAGATGAGAGAAGAGGATATCATCATTTCAACCATTACCACTGTCTGCGTGAGGAGGAAAGATCAGATGGGGAGGACATCATCATTTTACCAATGAATACACTGTCTATTGGAGGAGGAAAGATGAGAGGGGAGGACATCATCCTTTTACCAATGAATACACTGTCTGTGTAAGCAGGAAAGATGAGAGGGGAGGACATCATCATTTAACCAATGAATACACTGTCTATGGGAGGAGGAAAGATGAGAGGGGAGGACATTATCATTTTGCCAATGAATACACTGTCTATGTGAGGAGGAAAGATGAGAGAAGAGGATATCATCATTTCAAACATTACCACTGTCTGCGTGAGGAGGAAAGATCAGATGGGGAGGACATCATCATTTTACCAATGAATACACTGTCTATTGGAGGAGGAAAGATGAGAGGGGAGGACATCATCCTTTTACCAATGAATACACTGTCTGTGTGAGCAGGAAAGATGAGAGGGGAGGACATCATCATTTAACCAATGAATACACTGTCTATGGGAGGAGGAAAGATGAGAGGGGAGGACATCATCATTTTGCCAATGAATACACTGTCTTTGTGAGGAGGAAATATAAGAGGGGAGGACAACATCATTTTGCCAATGAATACACTGTCTTTGTGAGCAGGAAAGATGAGAGGGGGGGGGGATTACATCATGTTACCAATGAATACACTGTCTGTGTGAGCAGGAAAGATGAGAGGGGAGGACAACATCATGTTACCAATGAATACACTGTCTATGGGAGGAGGAAAGATGAGAGGGGAGGACAACATCATTTTGCCAATGAATACACTGTCTTTGTGAGGAGGAAATATGAGAGGGGAGGACATCATCATTTAACAAATGAAAACACTGTCTATGTGAGGAGGAAGGATGTGAGAAGAGGACATCATCATTTTAACCATTATCTCTGTCTATGTAAAGAGGAAAGATGAGAGGGGAGGATATCATCATTTTACCAATGATTACACTTTCTATGTGAGGATGAAAGATGAGGCGGGGAGGACCTCATCATTTCAACCATTACCCTATGTGAGGATGAAAGATGAGACGGGGAGGACATCATCATTTTACCAATAAATACACTGCCTATGTGAGGAGGAAAGATGAAAAAAAAGGATATCATCATTTTACCAATAAATACACTGTCTGTGTGAGGAGGAAAGATGAGAGAAGAGGATATCATCGTCTCAACCATTACCCTGTCTATGTAAGGAGGAAAGATGAGACGGAACGACATCATCATTTTACCAATAAATACACTGTCTATGTGAGGAGGAAAAATGAGACGGGAAGGACATCATCATTTTACACATGAAAGCACTGTCTATGGGAGGAGTAAAGATGAGAGGGGGGGGGTACATCATTATTTTACAAATGAAAGCACTGTTTATGTGAGTGGAAAGATGAGATGGGAGAACATCATCATTTTATAAATGAAAGCACTGTTTATGTGAGGTGGAAAGCTGACAGGGGGGAGGGGGACATCATCATTTTACCAATAAATACACTTTCTACATAAGGAGAAAAGATGAGAGGGGGGACATCATCATTTTATAAATTAAAGCACTGTTTATGTGAGGAGAAAAGTTGAGAGGGGAGGAAATCATCATTTTACCAATGAATACAATATTTATTTAAGGAGGAAATCATCATTTGACCAAAAAATACATTGTCTATGTGAGGAGGAAAGATGAGAGAAGACAACATCATCATTTTAACCATTACAACTGGCTATGTAAAGAGGAATGATGAGAGGGGAGGACATCATCATTATACCAATGAAAACACTTTCTATGTGAGGAAGAAAGATGAGAGGGGGGGACAACATCATGTTACCAATGATACACTGTAAATGTGAGGAGGAAACATGAGAGGGGGGGACAACATCATGTTACCAATGATACACTGTCTATGGGAGGAGGAAAGATGAGAGGGGGAGTACATCATCATTTTATAAATGAATATACTGTCTATGTGAGGATGAAAGATGAGACGGGAGGATATCATCATTTGACCATTGAATACAATGTCTATTTAAGAAGGAAAGTTGGGAGAAGAGGACATCATCATTTTACCAATAAATACACTTTCTATGTGAGAAGGAAAGATGTGAGAAGAGGATATCATCATTTCAACCATTACCACTGTCTGTGTGAGGAGGAAAGATCAGATGGGGAGGACATCATCATTGTACCAATGAATACACTTTCTATGTGAGGAATAAAGATGAGAGGGGGACAACATCATGTTACCAATGATACACTGTATATGTGAGGAGGAAAAATGAGAGGGAAGGACATCATCATTTTACCAATGAATACAATGTCTATTTAAGAAGGAAAGTTGGGAAAAGAGGACATCATCATTTTACCAATAAATACACTTTCTATGTGAGAAGGAAAGATGAGAGAAGAGGATATCATCATTTCAACCATTACCACTGTCTGTGTGAGGAGGAAAGATCAGATTGGGAGGACATCATCATTTTACCAATGAATACACTGTCTATGTGAGGAGGAAAGGTGAGAGGGGAGGACATCATCATTTTACCAACAAATACACTTTCTACAGAAGGAGAAAAGATGAGAGGGGGGACAACATTGTGTTACCAATGATACACTGTCTATGTGAGGAGGAAATATGTGAGAAGAGGACATCATCATTTTAACCATTACCACTGTCTATGTAAAGAGGAAAGATGAGAGGGGAGGTCATCATCATTTTACCAATAAATATACTATCTATGTGAGGAGGAAAGATGAGAAGGGGAGGACATCATCATTTTACCAATAAATACACTTTCTAAATAGGGAGAAAAAATGAGANGGGGGGGGGGGGGGGGGGGGGCATCATCATTTTAACAATAAATATACTGTCTATGTGAGGAGGAAAGATGAGAGAGGAGGATATCATCATTTTACCAATAAAAACACTTTCTACATAAGGAGAAAAGATGAGAGGGGGGGGGGAATCATCATTTTAAAAATGAAAGCACTGTTTATGTGAGGAGAAAAGATGAGAGGGGAGGAAATCATCATTTTACCAATGAATACAATGTTTATTTAAGGAGGAAAGTTGAGAGAAGAGGACATCATCATTTGCCCAAAAAATACACAGTCTATGTGAGGAGGAAAGATGAGACATGGAAAACATCAACATGTTACCAACGAATCCACTGTCTATGTGAGGAGGAAAGATGAGAGGGGAGGACATCATCATTATACCAATGAATACACTATCATCATTGTACCAATGAATACACTTTCTATGTGAGGAGGAAAGATGAGAGGGGGGGATAACATCATGTTACCAATGATAGATCATTTTACCAATGAATACACTGTCTATGTGAGGATGAAAGATGAGACGGGAGGATATCATCATTTTAC